CCCCCAAGGTCCAAATGAGGAGCAGAAGGAGGGAGAACATGAACAAGAAAGGCAGGGCTGTGAGGAGTGCGTTCACCCACTGATACAAGGGGACTGATCGAATGAGAGTTCACCAAGGCCAGCTGGACTGGGACTGAACGAGCACGTGATCAAAACGGATTCTCTGAATGTGGCTATCATGGGGACTGTCTGAGAAGCCATTGATAATTGCGCTGGGACTTGCTTCCTCTGCATGTTCTGGATTTTTGGGATCCTAGTCAGTTTGGATGCTCAGCTTCCTAGACCTGGAGGGAGGGGGGAGGAACTTGAACTTCCCACAGGGCAGGAAACTCTGACTGCTTTTAGGGCTGGAGAGGGAGGAGGAGAGGGAGTGGGGGGAATGCGAGGGTATTGGGAGGAGGGGCGGAAGTGGAAACTTTTATAAATAAAAAAAAAGAAAAGAAAAGAAAGAAAATGGGTCCTGAGAATGGTCATGAACTACAAAGTCACAAGCCTAGGTTCAGATGTTCAGCACATTAAACCTCTTTGTTAGTTAACCATCTTCCTAAATGGATGGTAAATGGATGAATTAGGAAAAGATGATATTGGGTAAGTCAGCCCAGGTCTATAAAGGCAAATGCTGCAAGTTCTTTCCATCTTCTCTTCTTAACTCCCAGTCTTTGGGTATGAGTATAAGAAATGGAGGAACAGATATGGAAGGAGCTACCTAGCATGACTGAATACCTTGTAGAAGAAGAAGCAGGCTGCATTCTCACCCAGATCCCGGCTAGCTTTCCCCCAAAATAATTACATGGAAACCATATTCTTTTAAACACTGCCTGGCCCGTTATCTCCAGCCCCTTATCGGCTAACTCTCACATATTGATTCAACCTATTTCTAATAATGTGTGTATCACCACGAGGTGGTGGCTTACCAGGAGAGATTCAACATGTCTGACCTGGCAGCTTCATGGCAGGCAGCTCTCTTGACCCTGCTTTCTTCCTCCCAGAATTTAGTTCTGTCTTCCCTGCCTACCTATGTTCTGACCTGTCAGGCCAGGCAGTTTTCTTTATTAATTAACCAATGAAAGCAACAGATAGATAGAAGACTCTCTTACATCAATATCTCGATCTGAATGTGTAAGTGGGACTCTCAGTGTAGGGATGGGGCACTTAGCAGGACCTGAAGCCTAACTCTGTATGTGTTTGTATGGCATTGGATAAGTGGGAGGAAATATGTAGTAGATCCAGACACAGTCATGCTTGTACATTAGGCTTTGGCTACAGGAGAGGGGCACCTAGAAAGATATATATAGAGATTCCTGTGTGGGGCTTTGCTTATAGAGAAAGATACCTAGTAGGAATTGACATCTAACTGCTGGGGATGGGGTAGGAGTTAGGGGTGAGTTCTTACCTAGCAATTCATACAACTAGCCCCATTTCAGGAGTTTTGCCTGTAGGGAAAAATTAACATGAAAAGCCATGCATGTACTTGTGATGGTTTAACTGTAGGGCCTAGATATGTGTGTGTGTGTGTGTGTGTGTGTGTGTGTGTGTGTATGTATGTATGTATACAGAGCTGATATTTTATATATATCACTGGGTGATTGTAACACGAGGGGGCCTACTTGTTGGGGTTTTTGTCCTGCCCAATTCCCCCAGCTGTTTAGTTCCAGAGAAAAATCACACTGAGATCTCTATAGGTTATAAAGCTGATTGGCACATTAGGTCAGGCTACTTATTAGCTAACTCTCACATCTTGATTAACCCATTTTTCTGATCTATTTTAGCCATAGGCTCAGTACCTTTTTCAGCAGGGCAGCTCACATCTTGCTGCTTCAGTGGTCTGAGCAAGAGTGGGAGGAATCAGCTTCCTCCTCCCCAGAATTCTCCTGCTCTCCTTGCATCATTTCCACTTCCTGTCTGGTTTTCCCGCCTACACCTCCTGCCATACAAACACATACAGAGTTAGGCTTCAGGTCCTGCTAAGTGCCCCATCCCTACACTGAGAGTCCCACTTACACATTCAGATCGAGATATTGATGTAAGAGAGTCTGGTTTTCCCGCCTACACCTCCTGCCTGGCCAATCAGCGTTTACTTAAAACATGATTGACAGAATACAGACAATTCTCCGGCACCAGGTGATGTACCTAACAGTACTGATGAACTACCCATGTTTGTGTATTGAGTCTTTGGATTAGGGGAGAAGGTACCTATCAGGACCTGACACCTAGTCCTATGTGTTTGGTCTGTTTTTAAGGGAAGGGATGCCTAAACCTGACTCTGGGTTTTCAGCTATAAGGGAGTGCACACCTAATATAACCTGACACCTATAGATCTATGAATGTATTTTTGTTTGTGTGTGTATAGGTGTGTTTACCTAGTGTACTGCTATAGGGGAGGGGTATCTGATACCTAACTATGTATGCATGTGTACATGTGTATATGTATGCATGTCTCAGGGGGGTGATTTGATTGTACTATGGGGAAATTTGTACCTAGCAGGACTTGAAACAAACCTTGCCATCTGTGTGTGTGTGTGTGTGTGTGTGTGTGTATGTGTGTGTGTGTGAGAGAGAGAGAGAGAAAGAGAGAGAGAGAGAGAGAGAGAGAGAGAGAGAGAGAGAGAGAGAATGAGTGTATGTGGGGACTGTGCTGTAGGGAAGTTTGTACCTAGAAGGATTTGAAGCTTACATGTGTGTGATAAGCTCTATTTGTAGACAAGGGGATGCACAGTAGGGCCTGACACCATACCTACCATGTGATAGTAGGTTTTGGCAGTAAGGGAGGGGGTACCCTGCAGGATCTAAAACCTAACCATGTATGTGCATGTGAAGCTTTGGCTATAAGAGAAATAGCAGAACCCGACGCTTGTATGAATTTGGGGGTTATGGTTTTAGGTAATAGTATGTAACACCTAGTTGTGTGCCATATGAGGGTCTTAGTTGTAGGGGAAGGTTATGTCCTAGGAACTGATATGTAGAATTGTATGTATATGTTGGGCTTTCACTGTATTCGGAAAAGGGTACCAAGCAAAGAATTAAAGTGTGTATCACACTTTCTATGTAAGCCAGGCACGGAATACCCAGCTGGTCTTGACACCTAGTTATATGTGTGGGATTTGTCTGTAGGAGAGGGTGTGCCTTTCAGGGGATGATACCTAGGTGTGTGTGTTCTGTTTTTTTGTTTTGTTTTTTTTTTGTTCTTTTTAATTTCATCTACTTTGGTCTACTTAGGGGACACAGCTATGGAAATGGTGATTTGGGGCAGCAATATTTCATCTTAGTTTGTGTTTGGGCTATGGAAGGTAGCGTCAGGATTTGGGTGGTGGTTGTATTTTTCTGTATGAGTTTATAGGCCAGGACACTAGAATCGCAAAATGAGGCATTAGACTGAACAACTTTAATCCGAAGTGATCAGAACTCAGGATAAGACGGTCAGAAACGGGGATGCAGCGTCCTCCTTGATCCAGTTCTGCTCTAGGCTGGCAGCAAGCATGTGGGAAGGCTGTGCAGGGCAGGTCCAGGGCAGCCTGACAGATGGAGCTGTGTTGAAGGCAGTGTGGAAGGCAGCCTGAGACGGAGGGAAGGTTCAGAAGGGTCTGGACACTCAACCGGAAACAGCTGTTGGAGGAGGTTGTTGGCAATTGGTGACATGTATAGGAAGTGAGTGACTGGGCGGGATTAGGGAGTGACAAAACGGAAGCAGCGAGATAGCGAAACTGAGGCCCGGTTGTTTGTGCAGAGGAGTCAAAAACTGAAGTTCTAAGTACTAATTCCCTGTCGGGGTCCTGCACCTGCACGGTGTGGAATCGCGTGGTGCAGAGGTCGCGGTGGGGTGTCGCAGGTCCGGAAAAACCTTTCCTGAGCTGCAGTCGCCAAGCCGGGCGGCCTGGGAAAGTCAGCAGTCAGCAGTTCAGCTGTGGAAACCGCTGCCTAGCGGCCCTGGAGCCTCTCAGGTCAGAGGAGCTGCGGGGCTGGGACCCAGGAGGAAAGGGATCAGGTGTCAGAAAAGTTTCTCTGCTGTTCATAAGGAAGTCGGGATCTGTTCAGCGGTGATGTCTTCCCTTGTCGATAAATTTTAGATCATATAAACTGTACTAATCCTGATTTTTTTTTCAAAGATCTTCTGGCTGCCAAAATATTCTTATTAAAATAGTGTAGTAGAATATTTGAATTTATCTGTTGATATTTGCAAATACTGTTCCCTTCCTATGGTGTAAAGGACAAAGCTCTTGATATTTATATTCATGCATGCTAATTGCCCTGTTATATCTTGGAGACATGGGGACATGGCATTCCAAGAGATCTTTGAGATATTAGTCATGAAAGGAATGTCTGCAGATTTTTTTGATTGATTCATATTAATCTGCAAACGGTAACATTTAAAAAGTTAACTTTTTCCCACCATTAATTTTCCATCAGAGTCATAGGCACTATGTAATGCAAATACAGCATTCTGAAAAGTGTCTTTGCCAGGCCTGGACCCTGCCCTAAGGGCTTTGTGCTGTCACTGGATGCTGCAAAATTGCAAGTGTGCTTTCTGTGGGTGAGAACAGTTTGCCTGTAGTCTCCTTTGTTCCTCTTCAGCATTTCTTGGCAAATTACCGTGCAAGTGTATGAGCTTTGTGTAAGTGAGTCTCACAGAGTAAAGTGAACTCAGAGGAACAATGAAAATCTTCATGAAATGTTCTTTTTTTCCTGTGTGTCCCTGGGGAAGTGGGAGACTTCCATCATTGGGTCTATGAAAAATTCAGAGCCTTTCTAGTGTATAATATTCTCATTCCAATAATTCAGCTTTGTTTCTACCCCTGAGATTTGGTTTGAATTGAGCTGTGGTTGGAATTGAGATTCAAGTGATGCTAACTGAAAATGCTTTCTAAATATTCTTAGTGTTCTGACACTGCAGGACAATTCGGGAATCACTCTTAAAATCCTGTGTTCTGTTTTCTCTATCTGCTGTGCATAGTACTATGTTAGAAATCTAAGTGCTTCCTGAACAATCTCTTTGTCACTTGCAGGGCTCACTGATCACCCAGACCTGCTCACCTGTGGAGAAGAACAAAGAACCCTGGAAGATGGAGCAGGAGGAGGCAGTGGTTAAGGATCCAGGTATGGTGGAGGGATTGGTGAAGGGATGGCAGGATATTCAAATGAATGTGGAAGTGGGACGTGAAATCAATTTTGCCACATTCTCTTTCACTAGAAATAATTCTGGAGGCTTCCACTGAGAAAAATCTCCTTAGGATTAAACTGTTGTAGGTGTAAAAAGAGGTTCTGAGGAAGAATTGACACTAGGAGGCAAATAAAGTTGTATTTGACGATCATGCGAGCGATGCTGTCTTTACTCCATTCACATGACTGATCATGTCATCATACCAATATTAATTGGTTTTCATGTCTGTGATTGTAATGTATTACAAAATGATCAAAATTATGACTTCTAGATTTATTCCTTTTTTTCAGAATCTTTTTGGTATTCTAGCACATTCTTTACCTGTTAGTGTTAATGTCTGTTCCTGAAAATGATGCCAACAGAATTTTGATAAGAATCAGGAAGTATATTTACAGACTGTTGAACTCCATCTGTGCTCTCTTCCCATGAATATCTGCCACTGTCTGTTGTCCTGACAACTCCAAGTGGTTTCCATTGCTGTAATTGTAATATACTGGAAGATCATCTCTAAGTTTGTTCCTCATAGTATTTTCCAGGTCTGTATCTTCAGAATTACTATCTGTAAAATATGCAAAAAAATTATCATTTGCTAATACTGCTTATTTTATATTTGTATACATGTGTGTGTATTACAGACTTAATTCACTTTATTTTTCTCGTATAAAAAAATCTTTATGTGGTAGTCACAGCTAGAGCAAGCTTCTGAACAGGCTCTGCTATGGGTTATCACAAGATGGTCAGTGAATTCTTGATAAGGAAACTTGATAAACACAGTCTCTTTCCGAGGTCAGGGGTCAGATTGCTGTAGGTGTTAGAGATGGCATCAAAGGTGACCTTTGCAAAGTTGCCCAGGGTGGCAGTGCAACTCCTGGCTGGTGTGTGGCACTCATCAATACTGATCATCATCAGTACCTTCTTGGGCCTAGGAGCAGAGACTGCCAGTGCCTCTGGGGCAGGGATGAGAAGCAGGAACACAGAGCAACAGCACCCTGTCACTTTTTTACAGAACAGTGTGGGGCTTGCCAACTCTGTTCCTCCAGTAGCCTCTTCGTACAGGGACTTCCAGAAATACTACAAATTTCATGATTTTATGTCCACTTCCATCTGTGTCATCTTTTCATGTTCTAGTTTCCATCTTCTTCAGTTCTTTCAGTGAATCAAAGTTTTCATTGTAGAGGCCTTTTATCTGCTTGGTTAGTTCACTTAAGGAGTTTTTATTTTTATTAATTATTATTTAGCATTCATTTTAAAAATTTAGGTTCATATATTTTATGTCTGCAAGTGTTTTGCTTACATTTATGACTGTACATCGTGTTCATCCTAGAATTGTAGTTATGGATAGATGGGAGTCACTGTGTAGGGTTTGGGAATGGAACCTCAGACTCTGGAAAAGCAGCAGGTACTCATAATCATTGAGTCATCTCTCTAACCCCCTACTAAGTGTAATTATGTGAGTAACAATATTAAAAAATATTAATTTTTACTATCTAGATAATCCAAAATTTTGACTTTACACAGGCATTTAAAAATTTTTAATAACGTTTTCTTTTATTGTTATTATATGTTTGTGTGAATTCTTAAAGATAAAAATACAACCTACGCTATATGTTTTCAGGGATAAACATTTGGTGTTGGATAACCACTCTTCTCTGCAAAGCACTATTTCTCCAGCTCTCAGAATTCCTTCGTGTTTGACTAGGGTTGAGGCCTAGTGAGCTTTCTCCTTTCCATGTTAGCATCTCTTAGTGTTGTCCTTGATCTGCTCATGTTTAGGCAGCCATATTTGTAAGATTTCATGCATGTAGCTTCTCTGACATTTCAAGCAGAACCAATCTCACAGCAAACATCCCATTCCTCTGGCTCTTACAATGTTCCTGCCCCTCCTTCTCAGTGATCCCTGAACCTGAGGAGCAGGTGTTGTGTTGCTTATGTGTCAGTAGGGACTGAACATCACAACTCGGCATATTGACTGGTTGTGGTTTTCTGAAATAATCCCCATGTGTTCTAAAAAGATCTTTCTATGGTGAGAGTTGAGGACAACATTTGGTGTGGGAGAATTGTCTGTATTCTGTCAATCATGTTTTAAATAAACGCTGATTGGCCAGGCAAGAGGTGTAGGTGGGAAAACCAGACAGGAAGTGGAAATGATGGAAGGAGAGCAGGAGAATTCTAGGGAGGAGGAAGCTGATTCCCCCTCTCCTGCCCAGATCACCGAAGCAGCAGGATGTGAGCTACCCCACTGAAAAAGGTACTGAGCCACATGGCTAACATAGATCAGAAAAATGGGTTAATCAAGATGTGAGAGTTAGCCAGTAAGAAGCCTGACCTAATGGGCCAATCAGCATTATAACTTATGGAGATCTCCTGTGTGATTGATTTTATTTGGGGCTTGCGGGCTGTGGGGAACTGGGCAGGACAGAAAACCCAACAAACAGGCCCCACTCATGTTACAAACATTTATCTGTGATGATAAGGAAAAATTTTAGAATGCAGTTATGGATTATGCTGATTTCGTAAAGTAGTGGTTGTATGTTGTAGGAGGCCATTTGTTTGTTCCCAGCTGCCTAGACTCAAAATAACCACACAGAAACTCTATGAATTAAATCACTGCTTGGCCTATTAGCTCTAGCGTCTTATTGGCTAGCTCTTACATCTTAATTTATCCCATTCCTATTAATCTATGTATTGCCACGTGGCTGTAGCTTACAGACAAGGTACCAGCTTGTCTGTTCCCAGCAGTGGCTACATGGGTTCTCCCTGACTCTGCCTTCTTTCTCCCAGCATTCAGGTTAGTTTTCCCCGCCTACCTCTATTCTGCTAAGGCACTTGTTAAAACAGCTTCTTTATTCATTAACCAATAAAAGCAACACATAGACAGAAGGCCTTCCAACACCATTTCCTTTTAAATGAGAAGGGAGGTTTTAACTTTAACAGAGTAAAATTACATATAACAAAATAGTTATCAACGAAGAATTACAGTTATTATTAATATCTACTTTATCTTTTATCATAACTAATGAAAACATAATTATAACTATTCTTCAGCTCCATCAAAGACTCCAGAAGGATAAAATATTACCTAAGTAAACAGGAAGTACATTTAAGCAACTTCCAAAACTCTAGAATTGACAGAGACATCTCATTACCTGAACAGTCACCCAAAGTTCTTGTATATCATTGGGGCATCCATCTTCAGCCTACAGGCCCATAGTATCCAGCAGACTCTTCCATGAAGCAGGAAATTTGAAGATCTGTTTTGCCTTGTAATGGCAAAGTCCATCAGTTGCTTCCTTCTGTGTCCTACAGAATGTCTTGCAGACTCTTTCATGAAATAGGAACCCTGAAGGACCATCTCACCTTCTTTAAACAACTTCAGCAGTCATTTTTCTGTGGGCCCTGCAAGTCAAGTCAAGAAGTCCAGGCAAGAGCAGTTTCTTGCCCAAATAGCTAACAAACTCTATGAGGAGCCTCTTTGATGTGCATCATCCTCCTGAAGTAGATTGGTGCTTCCAGGAACAGATGTGTCTCACTGTCATGAAAAGTGATAAGTTCTTAAAACATTTTAAATGCCATATTCTGAAGGTCTCTTAAAGATTTGAAGAATATCTATCTAACTTAAATATATCTCTATATATCTAGAAAACCTAATTAATATGACAATAAGCTTAACTAGTATAGATCATTATCTATTAATCTATATTTCTTAGTTATGCACCACATTTCTAAGTGAACTGTAAAAACACAATACCTTAATCAAGAGCAGAAGTATAAACATATAACAAAATTGACCTAAAATTTATATCAATAATCCAAGATCCATACAATGCATATTTCTATAGCATATCCCCCTTTAAATATAAAGAAACATTTATAAACAATCATTTTAGGAATTTGGGCATAGTTCTCTCCTACCTTTTGTTGGGTGAAGTAATTTTTTGGGGTGTCCACAACGACCTTTTGGGGGATCTGGGTCCATCAAACCACATTAGTCTGGAATTAATCCACAGGTTTCGTCTTCTGTGTAAACAAAACCGGAACCTCTTTCCGAAAATAACATAGCCTTAGGCTCAAATTCTGAAGTCAAACACCTTTAAAATATATAGGCTGGTTTAGCTTAGCAGCCTATATAATGAAATGTCTCTCTGTACTTAGCTACCTCACAGTCAAAAAATTTAAAGAAAACACAACAGTATACATAATCCAAACTCTCTGTATATTTTAATTTTATGTGGCTTATTTTTCTTATTCTATTGCTTTTTCTACAAGTTTAATATTTATTTTATTATCTTTACTCCTGTGTTTATGTCTCTTCTCCATAATTAAATCCCTCACCCCTGTTTCTCCATTCCCCCCCTTTTGACTATTTGTTCCATGTTATTCCCTTTTTTATTACTCCCTCACAGCACACACTGGACTGTTTTTATTTTTCTTGTTTCTGCAGTTATTCCAGGTTGTGTACTCATATTTGAAGATTTGGAGCTAGAAACTGCCTAAGAGAGAGATCATGCAATGTCTGTTTTTGTCTGGGTTACTCCTTTCAATATGGTCTTTTCTAGGTCTATCCATTTATCTGCAAAGCTCATGCTTCCAATTTTTGTTATCCCTGAACAATATTCCAAAAGTTATGTGCATCACATTTCCATTACCCATTTTTCAGTGGAAGGACATTTAGGTTGTCTCCCTTTTGTAGCTACTGTGAATAGAGCAGCAGTGAAAATGGGTGAGCAAATATCTGTGGAGTAGCATGTCAAGTCCTTTGAGCATATGCCAAGGAGTGGTACAGCCGGGTCATGTGCTAGATTTCTTTAACTTTTTCAAGAGTCTCCTTATTGATTTTCAGAGTTGCTAGATTTATTTTGTCTGCTTGTTTTTAGGGGTTTTTTTTCCCTTATGATTTTGTTTCTTAATGTTGTTGTTGGATGGATTATATTGGGAAAATTTTTCTTTCTTTTGTCTGAGAATTAGTGATGAATTAGTGAGAATTAGTGATCTTGCCCATGGATGATTACTTTCCAGTTCTCCTGTATTTATCTATTCTTCACATGAAAGTTATTTCCAATGTTCTCATGGATAATTTATTGGACTCTCTGTGTGTATTTTGCGACTAATTTATTATCTGCAGTGCTGCTTTAGTTAAATGAGCTACGTTAATTCGTGATTGTCTTCAAATACATACATGTTCCATTAATTTTAAGATAGATTTTTTTTTGAGTAACAATATGATTGACAATGATTTTCTCTTCAAGCTTTAAATGTCATTCCATGCACTCCTGGATTTTGGATCATTGTCTGAACACTTGGTCTTATTCTTTTGCTTGCGTCTTTTCAAGTGATTTGACATGTTTCTTTAACAGCTTTCAGTATTAATTTTTACACTTTCTTTTTGACCCCTTAATATGAAAGGTGAGCAAGCCATCTATTCATTATTCCTGAAAGAGAAACTCACAGAAGATAAACTGAAAGAAATGACTGATTCTGCAATTAATCTCTCCCAGGTCAGTGCTCATGCCCTGCCCCTTTTTAGTAGATATGTTATAGTTTTACACATTGGAAACCTTTAATTTTCTGCTTCTAATTATTTTTTAACATTATGAAACTGTTGCACAGAAACAAAAATCACATGCTGAAATTAATCCGACTGTATAACTCAATGTATTTTTATATAGTTAGAGTAGTTATCTACTCTCTGGAGCCTCACATGAGATTTTATAGTTTCAATATTCAATACATTTTGATATACTTATCTGCCATCAAAAAACAGAGCAAAAATGTGAGACAGAATTAGAACTACAAAAGCACTTAGCCTTTGCCATAACTGGTGTTCATTACCTGCATTCAGTTCTACCTCTAACCCAATATTTAACCTTTCTTGTTCTCTTTTCTCCATATTCTCCTGTACCCATATGTATGCTGTTTCCATAATACATGGTACCAATACTATGGTACCATAGTAATGGTAGATTCTCCGTATGAGGGAAAATACAGTATTCTCTTTCTGATACTGTATGATCTCTCTTACAATTATACATTTTGATTTCATCCATTTTCCTGCAAATTTCTTACACTTTTCTCTTCAGCTGAATAGTATTCCATTTTATATGTATATCATTTTCATTGTGCATTCATTGGGAATAGACAATTAGGTTGATTATAATTCTTTGCTAATGTAAATACAGCAGCATTAACCACAGAGTATAAATATCTCTATAGTGGGGTGGGGTATTTTCTAGGTATAAGCCCAGGAGTAAAAGAGTTGGGTCTTACTTTAGTTCTGTCTTTAATTTTCTAGTAATCTTCAGGCTGGTTTTCATTTGAGTGTATTAATTTGCCTAAAAGAGTCATGCTCTGTGAAGTGAAATGACCTAGTTTTGGTATAAATTGACCTCAACATAGATCCTTTGATTTGAGTCTGGATTATAAACTCAGTAACTATTGCTTAAAGAGTCATCCTGATCAGATTTATTTTCTAACCTAGGTGGATCTGTTAAAAACTCCCCTTTTATGGCTGAGAATGTGCCAAATCTCATATTCTATTCTCCCCATAAATCCTTGCAGGCAGTCCTGCCCAACATCTTTGAGACTGTCAAAGAGGATCAGCTACCCTACCAGGAGAGACACCCACCAGATGAGCCAGAGATACAACCTGTTGACTGTGTTTGGGTCGAGAAATATATGACCCAGCAGCTAGGAGGAAAGTGTACTGGACTGTTCAAGGTGATCTTGACCACACCGACTGCTGTTAAAGTAGCTGACAAGCCTCACTGGATTCAGCAGAATCATCTAAAGCTGTCAAAGTCTGAACATGTGCCTAAGGAATGGGTGGTAAGGCCACTGAGACCTACCAAGGTACAATTAACAAGGCAGGGAAAAGACCCATAATAACGCTGGTCTTTTTCCTCCTGATGTCTTCCACTTAGGGGCTTATATGCCCACCTACTATGAGTGGAGACTCATCCAAATACCTGATGCAAAGCCATTGCCACCACACCATACCCGACTCCTTCTCTAACTATAAATCTCTGTGACCTAGTATAAGATTATGCACACACCAAGGGTTGCAACGCTTGGCTAATTGTGAAAAATTAAAAAGAGGTATGGTAGTTTGCCTTGCCCCTCAGATAGAACACCCCTTTGTGAGGTGGAGGGCTAATAGCACTGTGCGGGATGGGAATGTGAGATATTAGTGTGATAATTAATGCTTGTGAGACGTTTAACACTTGGTTAAGCCCAAAGATTAAGACTATTGGCTACAATTACACATTGTTAGTTTCAGGAAAAAGTATCTTTACTGTTATCGTTGACCAAAGATGGGAGGGAAAACATGGGGTCTTTGGGTATATGTTTTAGAACTGGACTCTGACACTGAGAGTTTACTGTTCAATGGTCTCAGCCCAAGCAACCAAAATTGTCAGTAGGCACCAATAAAGTTATCATCCCAATAATCCATCTTGGGTGCCCTCACCCAAGAGAGGACTGGTCATCTCCCACTATGCCAACCTACCTGTTAAGACATCTCCTAAAGAAAACTATATTTTGAAATTCTTGACAGTACCTTCAAGTTCCTAAGTGGAACTAACTCTAATGCTACTGCTGACTGCTGGCTTTGCATTAAGCCTTGGTCCTCATGCTATGTAGGCATAACCACCCTTTCTTCTCAGGGAAATCAGCCTTCTGATATCAGAAAACTCATAGTGGATGAGCTGAAATTCCAACAATGTCCATGGGTCAAACAGTCTCCCTCTTTATGCAAGAACTCAAAGACAAAGGTACCTCTTTTCACTCAGAATATTATAGCCTCAACAATTCACCATATGAGAGATTTTGTAATTCGAGCATTCCAGTTTCTAGTTCAGATATAGGACATAGGCTTAACTTTGTGGTTCCTTCTCATGGGTGCTGGTTTGCATGTACGACAGGGTTGAAACCATGCATCAACCTGGCTTCTACCACAGACCTGTGAATCCTTGTGAACTTACTGCCCCAGGTCTACTACTTCTCAGGAGGAGGTGGAAGTTGAGAACACATATCTTTCCCAGAGGGAGATACCCAAGAGCCTCTGAACAGTTCTCATCCCAGTCTTACTCAGGGATGGGATAGCTGGGTCAACAGACTTTAGAACTGCAGCTCTTATAAAGGAAAACCAAAATTATAAGGAACTAGGGAGACTGATAGATGGAGACATGTTCAAACTGGAAAAAGGCTATCTCTCATCTGACTAACTCCCTAGTACAGGTGTTTCTCCAAAATAAGACAGGCCTGAATTTACTATGCCTCCAGCATGGAGGTTTATATATGACTTTAGGGGAAACAATGTTATTTATATGCTAATCATTTGGGAGTAATCAGATACAAAGAAAAGACAGGGAAGAAATAAAACAGGTTTTCTCACTGGTTTGAATCACATGTCTCATGATCCCCATGGCTAACAACCCTGACTATAGCAGTTGTGGGTCTGCTTTTACTGTTACTGCTGGCTCTAACCTTTGGCCCCTGCATTCTCAACTGTCTTGCCAGGTTCAAGAGACAGGGAATAAATATAGTTAAAATTAATGGTTCTTAAAGTCCAGTATGAAGCTTTAAGACAAGATTCAAAGGTTTGAATACTTGAAGGAGAGTGGAGAATGATGTGTCCTAGGAGAAAAATATTTTCTCTAAAAGAAAGGAAATCAACCCAAGGGATGAATTGTTCTTTACCTAGGTTCAGTGTGTTGTAAAGACGGTGCTAACACAAGAAAGAGCTAGCATCCAAAGTCCTTCAAACTGGCTCACACAGGAAGCAGATTACATATGAAGTTGCTCAATCTGGGTCACAGCTGGAGCCATGTCTGTTGTTTTAAATATTTAAACAGTTTTGTGATATAGTTCAAGCTAACTCCTTTTCCTTGGCCTTTATAGTCTGCTTCCTTGCTCTTGCTTGCTCATAAACAAAATTTACAGAAAAGACAGATGTTCTCTACAGATGAAGTGCATTTCTCTCCAGAGTAGAAGTGCCAGAGTCCATCAGATAATAAACTGTTGAGGCCGTACCATCTGGAGGTCATTCGCTCATTGGGTTTGGGCTTGGTACTCAGTTAATTACACTCTCTGCTCATCCTCTCTAACATTTGTTGAGAGATTAGTTGATGACAGCCATTCTGCCTGGAGTGAAGCAGTATTTCAAAGTAGTTTTTGTTTACTTTCTCTGGTGGCAGTTTAGCGACCTTGGGGTCATCTGTCTTTGAAAGGTGTCTATTCAGTTTGTTTCCCCACTTGTTGACTGGCAGTTTTCTGTCTGTGGTATTTAATTTTTGTAATTCTTAGTAAATTCTATATAGGAGCCCCTATTCAGAGTGTTGCTGGTACAGATTCTCTCCCATCCTGTGGGGTGGCTGTTGTGCTCTGCTGATTGTTTCCATTGATGAACAGAAACTCTTTATTTTCATGTAGTACCAGCGGTTGATACTTGGGGTTAGTTCCTGTGTTGTTGCTGTTCTTTCTGTTCAAGTTCTTGCCCATCCCACTGTACTATTTGTATTCACTGTGTTCTAGACTTCTGTGTGTCTGGTTTTGTCTTTCTTTTTCTTGTTGTTCTTTTAAGATTTGTTTATTATGTATAGTGTTCTGCCTGCATGTGTCCCTGCAGGCCAGAAGAAGACACTAGATCTCATTACAGATGGTTATGAGCCACCATGTGGTTGCTTGTATCTTTTGTCTCCTTTGCCACATATTAAGTGGGCATGGATTAATGATTTTCTTTCTGGGTTATCGATCCCATTCTGTTATCCTCCTGTCTATGTTTATTTCCATATCAGATTCTCTTTATGACTACAGCTATATAATATAATTCCATATCTCTTGTTGCACTTATCTCTATTCTACTCTCCCCAGATTTTTTTGGCAGGGGGAAGTATTCCACATATACTAATGACCTATAACTTTGAAAATATTTTCACTTTAACATATGACCAAAAATATGTTAATGCCCAACTGCTACAGAGGATGGACTGTATCCTTATATATTGCTGAGTCAGGGTTTATGTGCCATGTAGGCTCTACTTGTGGGATCCGCCCCATTTCCTTGAATCATGGTTATAAAAATGCATATTGAAACACATGGATGAGTTGGAACAACCATTTAGAAATGTTTGGAATGAAGAGAGACATATCTTGTTTTTTAATACTAAATAGTATCTGGTTTCTAATACTAAAGATTTAAGCACACTATAGAGTGCAGACCATTGCAGGTGTATGTGGTTTGATCATGCCATGAAATTGATGTTTTGTGTATAGATTCAGATTGTAGTCTACATTATTTCTCTTTCATGTTTAATATCAGAACAGTGATGATGTGTCCATGTGTTTGTTGGCACGTTGTATCTGTTTCTCTCCGGAGAATTGATGCTCACATCATTTACCTGGTTAGGATACTTAGTGGTAACTTCCCAAAGTAGATCAGTATTTTTTTTTATTTGTCTTGTTTTCCTCTCAAAGAGGATCCAAATATGCAGCCCTTTCTTTTTGACTGGGATTCATTGTAGCATTATGTGGAGTGCATTAGGAATAATGTCTTGAGGACATTGATGGCATCAGCCATCACATTTGATGCAGAAAGAACATTCCTTATGTCTGTTTTGCTCTAGTCAGTTCCTGTGAGAATTGTGGCTATACTCCTCCAACTTGAAGCTGCAGTGTTTTAAAGTGGAGATTTTGGAAATTGCCTCTGTTTTTGTTTTGTGGGGTTTTATTCCTTCCTTCCTTCCTTCCTTCCTTCCTTCCTTCCTTCCTTCCTTCCTTCCTTCCTTTCTTTTTTTTTTTTTTTTTCCCCAACACAGGATTTCTCTGTGTAGCAGCTCTGTCTGTTCTGGAACTTGCTTCATAGATCAGGCTGTCCTTGAACTCACAGTGATCCACCTGCCTCCCAAATGCTGGGATTAAAGGGAATGGGCTCTGAACTGCAGGTTTGCATTTCTATTGCTCACTCATAGCTCAACTATAATATGTCATCACATCTTTCAGAGAAATAGAGAAATCATAAACACTACTAACCTAAAATGCTGTTAGACAATACAGCGTAGCTACTAAAAAGAATACGTTGAAAACTGCAAAATTCAGCCACAGTATTGCAGATTTTCTCTTGAGCCATTTTTTGAGCTATATTGTATTTGCAAAGCTCTTAAAACATGACTATAATTTATTATATACATTTACTGATAGGAAATCTATGTCACTTCAGAATGCATCCAGTTACTACACTTATGTGTACATGCTGATGTGTAACTTAAATATTATTTAGTGTGTTTTGGACTTCCATCAATTTTTTGTAACTATTTGCATGTGAAATCTTAAAGACTTCTGAAACTGTTATTTGTCTAATTCAACTTCTATATATTCTTATAAAATTTTGGATTATATCAGATGTGGTTGATGCTGAATTTTCTATCTGCTTAGTAATGGCCCACTATTCTCATAAAATTAATTCTATATACTACTTGATTTTATATGTTCAAGTTAAACTTTACAGTATACAGTGTTGTTGTATTCATTTTTACTGTGGAAAAGCAAACTCTTTGACTATCAAGTTAATCATAAATTTTGCCTTCCATATGCACCAGTTTGCTCTTTAATGATGTGGCATTGGATCTAGAGTCTAAACATATGAACTGAGCATGTTACAGTGGAATCATGTTAGGCCCAAGAACAGACAGGATGATTCAATGTCAATATTTTAGCATAAAATTTAGGCACAACATTTGAAAGCACATTTCCTCCTCATAAATTTCCTCCTAAGACATGTCTGCTATGATCCTGTGCAACACAGAAGATAGATAACCATGTCCAGACCTTGAATGTGTGTTGTTTCGTGTATATTGCCTGTGAGACTATTGTGTCATCCTGTTGAGTATGACTATATTAGAAATCGTCTCTGAGTAATTGTCTTTACTCATCTAATCCCCTAATTTCCTTAAATCTCCTTATATCTAGGAGAGCACTCTGTCTGGTAGAAACACAAACTGTACTTTGTATTTCAGGGTCTGTTGACATTCAAGGATGTGACTGTGGATTTCTCCCAAGAGGAGTGGGAATGTTTGAACTCTGCTCAGAGAACTTTGTACATTGATGTGATGTTGGAGAATTACAGAAACCTGCTCTCTGTGGGTGAGAACATTTTGCTTGTAGACTTGCTAACTCAAGCTTTGTATGTACTGACTGTATAGGTTATGAACTCTCTGTTAGGCTATCGTGAAAACAATAGGAGATTAGGAAATGCTTGGGAGTAGAAAATAACTTTTTCTTTGTGTTTTTTTTCCTCTCTTCTCCATTTTATACGTGTGATGCACCCTTTATTTCATTTCCATAATATATTCAGAAACTCAGTAGCATATAATATTTCCAGTTATATCTTAAATCTCGATGCCTGTCATTGCTCCTAATATTGTTTTATTTGTGCGAAAAATTCAAGATATTCAAACTGAAAATTCTTCCTAAATATGCTGAAGATTCTGACAGGGAATAGCAATTGGGAAATCATTCCTATATTCCTCTACTATGTGTTCTTTTTCTTTGCTGAGCATAGTAATGTACTAAACATGTGCATTCTTTCTAAAAATTATAGCATGGATCATGGATGGCGTCACAGAACACATAGATTATTATATGCTAGGTTTGCTGTCCACAGCAAATGAGATTGTCTTGACAGGTGGAGAGCAAAAAGTAGCCACAACTAGGGTGGGCTAGTGAATGAGCATGACAACAATGATAGCTTCCAATAAAAGAGTAAGAAAGAGGTGAGAATGCTTTTGCAATATTCAATTCCTCTTGAAAGGATTCCTGATAATTGAACCTCATATATATAGTGTCCTGGCCCAGGGATGCATTCTACATATTGTAATTGTTAGATGTGTCTTATTACACCTAGATTATGGTTATTACTTAATGCTCATACAAAACGCAATTTTATTTGACTATGCTGATATCAGATTGGAATAATCTTACAATGTTCTAAATCTAATGTGAGTCCATGAATTAGGATTATTCTGTAATTGCCTTCCTTGCATGTATATCAATGGTGGCTAAAAATAAGCTCTGACTTCCCATGATAGCCCTGCTTCAAATGATCTAGAGCAGTGAGTGATTTTTAACCTTGGTAACTTTACAGCTTTTTAATAGAGTCCCTCATGTTTTGTTGACTCCCAGCCATAAAAGTGTTTTTGTTGCTAATGTTTGACTGTAACTTTGCTACTAAGTGAGGCCTCAGTTCCTAAGATCATTGGGAACAAAATGTATTTTCAGACAATCATGACCCACAGGTTTAGAACCGCGGATTTAGAGCCTCTGATGTAATACTTGCTTTGCATCTATTACTTTTTAAAGAATCTAAATTCAGCATGAAAATATAGAATCTGTGATGCTTTTCAATAGTCCTTTAATTTTCAAAGGAATTGGGTATTCTGACTTACAGTTCTCATTGCTGTACATTAGTAAGTAAACACTGTGAATCTGGAATTGGATTAAACTCTGCTTCATCAATTTCTGAGAAAAAGTATTTTAAAATAGTGACATATATTCTAAATATACTTAGGCAGTTACCCCCGTCCCCAAGCTAATTACTGATTCCTCAGTTCTCAGCTTCAACTTTCTTGAAGACTATTACTCTGTGTTTGTAAACATCCATAAATAGCAGTGATGAAGAAAGTTGACTACTGGGAGCTCTATTCTAAATAGTTGTTGGTTGGCTTATCTTAAGAGAGAATTTGGGGAGATAGCTATTTATCAAATGTTTAATCTTGCAACAAGCACTATTAATCTGAATTGTATTCATTTTCAGAGAACTGTTGCATATGTGATCCTGCCCATCAACATGTGAATAAAGAAAAGGAGTCTTCTCAGTGTAATGACCTTGGCAAAGTGCTTCATGACCTCTCCACATGTATACTTTATAGAACAAGTGAAACTACAGAAAACTCTAATAACTACAGATGCAGTAATCATAGGGATGCCTCCGTTGACTCATCAAACCCAGATAGACATGACAGCATGCACACTGGAGAAGAACCTTGCAAACCTAAGGACTGTGAGAAATCTTTAAATTTGTGTTCCAACATTAATAAAGATCAGAGACTCTACATTGCAAAGAACGAGAACAGGCAGGAAGAATATGATGACCATTTAAGCTCTACATACAATGGTTTACAACAAAAATTCAGCATTGGAGAGAAACCACACCAGTGTGGGAAATGTGGGAAATCCTTCAGTACTGCCTTAAGCCTCAATGTACATCAGAGAATTCATACTGGAGAAAAGCCTTACAAATGTCAGGAATGTAAGAAATCCTTTACTGTGAAGTCAACTCTTACAAAGCATCAAAGAATTCATACTGGAAAGAAACCCTACAAGTGCAACATTTGTGACAAATCCTTTACCCAGTGCTCAAGTCTGAAAACTCATCAAAGACTACATACTGGAGAGAAACCTTACAAATGCAGAGAATGTGGGAAGTCCTTTCATCAGTCCTCAGCACTTAAAAGCCATCAGAACATGCATACAGGAGAGAAGCCTTACAAATGTAAGGAATGTGACAAATCCTTTGCCCACTATTCTAACTTTAGGAGACATCAGAAAATCCATACTGCTGAGAAACATTATAGGTGTCAAGAATGTGACAGAGTCTTTCATTGGCTTTCACACTTAAGGAGACATTACAGACTCCATACTGGAGAGAAGCCTTACAAATGCAATGATTGTGACAGTTCCTTTACCCACTATTCATCATTTAGAAGGCATCAGAAAACTCATTCTTTAGATGAATTGTACGAATGCAAAGAATGTGGTAAGTCCTTTCTTGACTTATCACATCTTAAAAGGCATCACAGAATCCATACTGGTGAGAAGCCTTACAAATGTGAGGTCTGTGACAAATCCTTTACCTTGAACTCAACTCTTAGAAGACATCATAAAATTCATACTGGGGAGAAACCTTACAAATGTGAGGTATGTGACAAATCCTTTAGTGTGATATCAAATCTCAGAAGTCATCAGAAAACTCATACTGGAGAGAAACTTTACAAATGTAGGCAATGTAGCAAATCCTTTAGCCAGGACTCATATCTTAGAATACATCAGAGAATTCATACTGGAGAGAGACCTTACAGATGCAGAGAATGTGGAAAATCATTTCATCAGTTGTCAGCACTTAAACGCCATCAGAAAATGCATACTGGAGAGAAACCTTACAAATGTACAGAATGTGGCAAATCCTTTACCCAGGACTCACATCTTAGAACACATCAGAGAGTCCATACTGGAGAGAGACCTTACAGGTGTACGGAATGTGACAAATCTTTTACTGAGTGCTCAACTTTTAGACAACATCAAAAAATTCATACTGGAGAGAAACCTTACAAATGTACAGAATGTGACAAATCCTTTTCCCGTAACTCACATCTTAGAATACACCAGAAAATTCATACTTGATAGGGACCTTACAAATGCAAAGAATGTGACATGTCCTTTATCCAGATTTTGAGATTTAGAAAACAATAGAAAATTCAAACTGGAGAGAAAAATACTGGAATTCTCTACTTAGAAATCACAATAATAGAAGCATAAAGATATGAAATTTGTGAATGTCTTTAATCAAGGTCTAATCTTAACAAATTTCACAGGGCTTATATGAAAATAAAATTCTACAGGAAAAGTTTTGTTGTTTTTTCTTTAATATGGTTGCACAGTATGTTAGTATTTCTGTGTACTACATGTATGTCTGGTGCATGGAGCGTCCAGAAGAGGTAATCAGATCCCTTAAGCCTGGATTACCAGAAAATTGTGACCTGTTATATGTGTCTAGAATTGAACCTCAGTCTTCTGGAAGTGTAGTCAATCCTCTTAACCAGTAAGCCGTATCTCTAGCCCCTCAGAAAAGCTGTGATAAAAATACTGTGTTCAACATCTAAAAATTCGTAATAGTGGTGATGTGGTGATGCAAACCTTTAATCCCAGCACTCAGAAGGCAAAGCCAGAAAGATCTCTGTGACTCAGAAGCTGTCCTAGTCTACATAGTGAGTTTGCAGACAGCCAGGACTACATAAACACTGTCTAAACAACAACAAAACATTGTAATGAGGACAAAATTTAAAAAATGTTTCAAAGTACTCTAATTTTGTTGAACATTGCAAAATTCATAATCCTGAGAAACTAAATAAAGGTATACCATATATAATCCCCAAGTATGAAATTCTCTGCATTTGATTAATTACGAGTTTTTGTAGTGGTCTCTGCCTGTTGCAACTGAAGTTTCCTTAACAAGAAGTGATGACTACACTTATCTGTGGGTACAAGGAAAAAAGTTTAGATTTTTGTGAGGGTTTATGCAGGTTTATTAAGTGGGTGTTGTAGGTTCTTCTAAGATTCATAACTGAGTAGGCAACAAGATTGCTAGTACCAGTCAGTCATGGTTTCCCGTCTGTGAAGAGGGTCTTAAGTCTGATGACAGAGCTGTCGGTTACTACCAACATGTGCCTCCAACTGCTTCAACTTTAGGGGAATGTTGCCATGGTGATCTTTATGTCGTTCATAGGCTTCATAGATGGACAGGACTGTCACTTCCCTCCTCAGGGAACGTACATGGTGCTTCTGGAAGCATAAACAATGTTGGTCAGTGAGGAGTTCATTTTTCTTGAGACATGGACTCTAATGTGTTCCCAGCTGTCCTATACTCATTGTGTAGACAGGGTAGCACAGAACTCAGAGATCCCCCTTGCTTCTGAGTGCTTGGTTTAAGGCTTGCATGACCTCGCCTAACTATACATAACTTTTTCTTTTCATGTCTTGTAAATTACCCAAAGTAACTGCACCACCTAAATGACAGCAATGAATAATCAAGTGGTTCTCATTTCTACTGACATTAAAGACTTATATTCCACTTAATTGGAAACTCTAATTGAAATATATGTTTCCAGGTGCTTACAACATACCAAATTAAAACAACATAAAGTGAATAATGTAGACAGAACTACAAGTAGAAATGAGACTGAACAAGTGATAAAATGCCCCCTTCACTCCAGGACTAGATCGACAGGGTTCTATCAAAACTTGAAATAAACACAGCAAAGCTACATAAAATACTTTTTGGAATAATAAAGGAAGATTTCGTGAACCTTGATACAACCAAAAGGAAATTATGAACTGATGAGGTCAATAAAAAAATATTGCCAGCTATTTCTCTCCCTCCCCCCTCTTCTTCATACACACACTGTCCACTCTCACCTCCAACCTCTATTATCCTGGTCCACAACTGTAAAAAAAAAAATCTCTATTGTGTTCATCTCCATTCATTTTGCTTGGGACCCACTGAGATTAACCAGGGTCATCTGTGAGACTATGAGTTTGGAGCTCTGTGTTGGAACCTGGTGGGCTCAGCAGAGTATTACAACGAAAGGCGGTGATTCTCCTACAATCCATTCATGGACAATATTGGAGACTTTGCTGTGAGCCTTTTCCTTTCCTAGACTGTGGTCTACTATGAGGTCAATGCAGCTGCTGTTAATTACTGATTACAACTGCTGTATGGAGTCTAGAACATGACATGCCTTAGCCCTTCCTCCTCTTTTCCTTCTATACCCTTTCTTCCTCCTCTTCCTCAGTGTTTCCAGAGCCATAGCTAGTAAGGTGTAACTCACATTTTTAGGCTTGGGAACACACACAACCTTACTTATTTTCTGCATCCACCTGGGACCGGGTGGGGTAGTGTGCGGGGCGGGGGGAGTCTAAGTTTTATCTCAAAGCACCTTTAGCCTGATCCCAGAAGACTAACTTGTTCCCAAGTGGGTAAAATGACAAGACCACTATCTAGTGGTGAAAGCTGTACAACGCGGAATAAACTCAGCCCTGAGTTGTTAGCAATGGGCTGACAATTGACTTCTTGACACACCTATTTTCAAAATCCAACTTCGTGAAATGTCTCTCACCACGACCCAATTACAGTATTTTGTTTTGGTTTCTCATGTATGTGTTGGGGATGGGACGCCGACACCTGAATTAGCCGGCTATCATTTGTGTAAGTATGTAGCCCGGGAGGCTGGTCGTCAAGTCGAGGCTAGTCTGCCTGTCTTTTCATCTGAAAGGTTCAGAACTCACTGTGGGGTGATACCGGGATGCAGCGTCCTCCTAGATCACTTCTGCTCTAAGCTGGCAGCAAGCATGTGAGGAGGCTGTGCAGAGCTTGTCCAAGGCAGCCTGACAGCTGGAGCTGTGTGGAAGACAACCTGAGACGGAGTGGGCGGGGACACACAACCGGAAACAGCGGATGGAGGATGTTGTTGGCCATTGGTGAGGTGTAGAGGAAGTGCGTAAGTCGGAGGGGTTTGATTAGTAACGTAAAGGAAGCTGGGAAGTCCGTTTGCTAAGGCTCGGTAAGTTGAGCTGGTGAGCCAAAGCCAGAAGTTGTAAGTGTGGATTCCCTGTGATTCCTTCGGGACCTGCACCGTGGGCAGTCGCGTGTTGCTGACCTAGGTGTAGACGACGCGGCGGGGTGTTGAGGGTACGCGAAAACTCTCCGGAGTCGCAGTCGCCGAGGGGGGCTGCCTGGGAAAGTCAGCAGCACAGAGGGGGAACCGCAGCCCGGAGGCCCTGGAACCTCCCAGGTCTGAGGAGCTGCAGGGCTGAGACCCAGGAGGGAAGGGACCAAGTTGCGAGCAGTTTCTCTGCTGCTCACAAGGAAGCCGGCTGTGAAATATTGCTGTGGATGTCTTACCCCGTCGTTAAATTTTAGATCATCTGCACTGGACTAATCCTGATTTTTTTTTTAACCTTCTGGTTTCCAAAATATTTTTGTGAATATTTTGTAATATTGTGAATATTTTGTACAAAGACTGGATATTGTAGAATTGCAGCAGTCTGGTTTCTGTGGGTGAGAACAGTTTGCTTTGAGTCTCCCTTGCTCTTCCTCGGGGCTTTTTTGGCAAATTACTCAGCATGTGTGTGCCCATTGAGAGATCAAAGCCTTCCATCATGTGTGGTCCTTGATAAATTCACTAATTCATTTGTGTATAATATTGTCACCCAAATCATTTATTTACTTTAATTTCTGCCCCCGAGTTTTAACTGAGCTGTGCTTGAGTTTGGGATTCAAGTTATACTCGCTGAAAATGCTTTCTAAATATTTGCATTGTTCTGACCCTGCATCTCAATCAGGGAATCACTTGTAGAATCCTCTCTTTATCTACTGAGCACGGTACTCTGTTAGAAATCCAGATGATTTCTGAACAATCTTTTTCTCATGTGCAGGTCTCACTGATCACCCAGACCTGCTCCCCTGTGCAGCAAAACAAAGAGATCTGGAAGGTGGAGAGGGAGGAGACAGTAGCTAAGTATCCAGGTATGGTGGAGGGATTGGTGAAAGGGCAGCAAGGGGTTCAAGTCATTGTGGAAGTGGGACGTGAAATCAGGTTTGCACCATTCAGTTTCACTAGAAATAATTCTGAAGACTTCCATGGAGACAGAACTCCTCATGATTAGCCTATTGTTGGCACAAGAAGACTTTCCACAGAAGAATTGATAATGAAGACAAAGTTGTATTTGACCATGTATGTGAGTGATGCTGTCCTTACTGCATTCACATCACTGATCATGTCATCATCATAATTGGTTTTCATTTCTATGATTTTAGTATATTATAAAATAATGAAAATTAATGCCTCTAGGATTATTTATTGTTTTCAGAATTTTGGAGCTTTGGTATTCTAGCATATTCTCTACATATTAGTGTTAATGTATCTGTTCCTAAAAGTAATGCCAACAGAGTTTTTGATAAGAATCAGGAAATATATTTACAGACTTTAGCTTTGTGGTGATACTTTGTTTGTGCTTTAACAAATAAAGCTTACATGAATATAGAGTGGGGAGCAAGCCACTAGTTAACCACTGAGGCCAGGCTGTGGTAGAACACACCTTCAACCCCAGCACTCAGGAGGCAAAGGCAGACGGATCTCTATGAGTTCAAGGCTACTCTGGGCTACAAGAGATTGATCCAGTATAAAATAGAAACAGAGCCAGGCTGTGGTGGCTCACACCTTTAATCCCAGTATTTGGGACTCATACACCTTTAATCCCAACACTACGGAGGTGGAGATAGGAAGGGATATGGCTGGGCTGAGAGAGGAATATAAAGCAGGATGAGACAGGAGCTCAAAACATTCAGTCTGTGGATTTGTAGAGACAGGATACCCCATTCATCCAATCTGGGGATTTCGTACAGGTAAGAACTAGTGATTGGCTGCTCTGCTTTCTGTTCTTTCAGCTTTCACCCCCTAATATCTAACTCCAGGTTTTTATTATTATTAAGACCAGTTAGAAAACGTGCTACATAACTCTGTCTACACTGTCTTTCTATGGATATCTCCTATGGTCTTGTGGTCATAACCATTCCAAGTGGTTTCCATTGCTGTAATTGTAATATGCTGTAGATCACCTCTAAATTTGATCCTCTTAGTATTTTCTGGCTCTTTTCCTTGGTACTTTCGGGATTATTTTCTGTAAGACATGCAAATAGCACTGTTAGAGGAATTGCTTGGAGTCTTAGAGAAGTCAGACCTCCTTCTAGGTTGTCTTGTGTTTGAAAAGAAAATGAGGCAGTGTGTCAGTTTTTACATGTTGTATGTATTCTCCTGTTTTTTGTCACTGTGCGTGTCTGTATTCTACGTTTTGTGACATGCACCTGTGTTGATTAAGGACTTTCTATCTAATGGACCATTTTATCATTTCCTAATACTATTTACTTTGTATTTTGATACTTTTTCTTGATTTTTCTGTCACTATTGTAATGATAATCATCAGTTGTCTTTAACAGCTGTTCATTATCATGGCATTTTTTGTAAACTTCTTTCTCAGTTTTTTGCATCTTTAAATATGAAATGAAATTTGGTAGAAAATACATGCTTTCTCAGCTGTCCTTTTTTTGAATGCTTAAATCTGTTTATATCATTTGCTTAGGGAATATTATCCATTTATATTTCAAGAAATTACTGAAAGAAATGCATTTGTTATTTTTTACGAATTTGAGTGTGATCACTGACTGGAGAGAACTGGAATCTCTGTATATTGAATTTACATTATCTTACGATCTACACTGTCACACTTTTTAATATATACATGTTGGCCATTTCGACTGCTGTTGACCACAGTCTATTAATTCATTTGTTTGTTTATTGATTGTATTGTCATTGACTTTCTTTGTAATTTTTGGTAGATTGTGGGGTTTTATCCATTGTAGTATAAGTAGATATCTAATAAATGTATCTGCTGTGCAGCCCATCTCTTCATACTTTTAATTATTACCTTTTCCCTTGGTGTTTTTTATTGTGCACAGTATTGTTTGTCAGTTCCTGATGTTGTATCAAGTGTTGCCCTTTGTGTTACTCTGCAAGGTTCACAGTTTCAGGACATGAAGTCTGTGGTTCTTTGTGTGGAGGAGAAAATTGAAGCCAGATTGATGCTTTTCTATGCAGATAGATACTTTTCCGAATACCACTATATGAAGAGGCTGTCCAGTCTACAGCACAAGTTCATGGTATTTTGGTAACATTCACATGGTCATTGCTATTGGGCAGGTTCTGAATCTGATGCTCTATTGCATTGGGTTGTTTGTCTTCCTCAGCTCTCATGGTCCTGTTGGTTGTGTGGATCTGCAGTGTCATCTGGAATCACACGAGGATGACTGGCGCTTTGACTGTATTTCATGGGCATGCTAGAATTGTTATGGACAGTTGGGAGGCACAGTGTTCATTCAAGGAATGGAACCTGAGTCTATGCATGACTGAGCAAATATCTGAGGAGTAGGAGGGGGTTGAGTCCTTTGAGCATATGCCAAGGAATTGAACAGCTAGGACATGTGCTTGACTTGTTTAACATGAGGGTTTATTTGTTTAATTGAGGATTCTCTATATTGATTTCCACAGTGGCTAAATATATTGTTCATACAGTGTTGGTTCCCTGTGCTTTTTGTTTTTTATGTTGCTGCTGTTTGGATTATTGGTACTATTCTTCCTTCCCTGAGATATTGCTGCTTGCTTCTTTTTTTTCTTTTTTTTATTGCTTTATAAATAATACCATTCAAAATTTACACCTCCTCCCATTTCCCTGCCACTGCCCCCACTCACCCTCTCCCCAGCCCCTCCAGTCCTAAGAGAAGACAGGGTACCCTGCCCTGTGAGAAGTACAAAACCCTCCCCAGATCCATCCAGGCCTAGGAAAGTGTGAATCCAAATAGACTAGGATCCCAAAAAGCCAGTACATGCAGTAGAATCAAATCCCAGTGCCATTATCATTGGCTTCTCAGTCAACCTCCATTGTCAGCCACATTCAGAGGGTCCAGTTTGATCAAATGCTCGTTCAGTCCCAATCCAACTGGCCTTGGTGGACTCCCATTAGATCAGTCACACCGTCTCAGTGGGTGGACAAAACCCTCGCAACCCTGACTTCCTTGCTCATCTTCTCCTTCCTTCTGATCTTCATCTGGAACTTGGGAGCTCAGTCCAGTGCTCCAATGTGGGTCTCTGTCTATCTCCATCCATTGCCAGATGAAAGTTCTATGGTGATATTCAAAATATTCATCAGTGTGGCTATGGGACAAGGCCATTTCAGACATCCTCTCCTCTACTGCCCAAGGACCTAGCTGGGGACATCCCTTTGGACACCTGCCAACCCAAAAATGGCTCCATTAATTAAGATATCTTCTTTCCTGCTCCCATATCCACTCTTCCTCCATCTCAACCATCCTACTTCCCCAAACTTTCCCCAATCCTCCTGTTCTCCCTTCTTTCTCCTCTCCCCTTCCCTCCACCCCGTTCCCACCGCCATGCTCCCAACTTTTACCCGGCAATCTTGTCTGCTTCCAATTTCCAGAAGGATCTCTATATGTTTTTCTTTGGGTTCACCTTATTATTTAGCTTCTCTAGGATCATGAACTATAGGATCAATGTCCTTTGTTTATGGCTAGAATCCACTAATGAGTAAGTACATACCATGTTCATCTTTTTCGGTCTGGGTTATCTCACTCAGTATAGTGTTTTCTATTTCCATCCATTTGCATGCAAAATTCAAGATGTCATTGTTTTTTGTTTTTTACCACTGGGTAGAACTCTAATGTATATATGTGCCACACATTGTTTAACCATTCTTCCATTGAGGATCACCTAGGTTGTTTCCAGGTTCTGGCTATTACAAATAGTGCTGCTATGAACATAGTTGAACAAATGCTTTTGCAGTATGATTGGGCATCTCTTGAGTATATTCCCAAGAGTTAAATTGCTAGATTCTGAGGTAGGTTGACTCCCAGTTTCCTGAGAAACCGCCACAGATTTCCAAAGTGGTTTGCATTCCCACCAGCAATGGATGAGTGTTCTCCTTACTCCACATCCTCTCCAGCATAGATTATCATTGGAGTTTTTGATTTTAGCCATTCTGACAGGTGTAAGATGGTATCTCAAAGTTGTTTTGATTTGCATTTTCCGGTTTCCTAAGGAGATTGAACATGACCTTAAATGTCTTTTTGCCATTCAAAGTTCTTCTGTTGAGAATTCTCTGTTCAGTTCAGTACCCCATTTTTTAATTGGGATATTCAGAATTTTAATATCTAGTTTCTTGAGTTTTTTATATATTTTGGACATCAGGCCTTTGTCTGATGCGGGGTTGTTTTCTTCTCCCATTCAGTGGGCTGCCTTTTTGTCTTAATGGCAGTGTCCTTTGCTATACAGAAGATTCTCAGTTTCAGGAGGTCCCATTTATTCATTGTTGCTCTTATTGTTTGTGCTACTGGGATTATACGTAGGAAGTGGTCTCCTGTGCCCATGTGTTGCAGACTACTTCCCACTTACTCTTCTATCAGGTTTAGTGAGTTCAGGTTAATATTGAGGTCTTTAATCCATTTGGACTTGAGTTTTGTGCATGGTGATAGATAATTGATCTATTTTCATTCTTCTACAGGTTGGCATCCAGTTATGCTAGCACCATTTGTTAAAGATGCTTTCTTTCTTCCATTGTATATGACAAAATAGCTCCTTTGTCAATAATCAGGTGTTCATAGGTTTGTGGATTAATATCTGGGTCTTCGATTCGATTGCATTGGTCAGTGTCTCTGTTTATGCCAATACCAAGCTATTTTCATTACTGTAGCTCTGTAATAGAGTTTTAAGTCAGGGATGGTAATGCCTCCGGAAGTACTTTTATTGTATAGAATTGCTTTGGCTATCCTGGGTTTTTTGTTTTTTCATATAAAGTTGATTATTGTTATCTCAAGGTCTGTGAAAAATTTTGTTGGGATTTTGATGGGGATTGCATTGAATCTATAGATTGGCTTTGGTAGAATTTCCATTTTTACTATATTGATCCTACCATCCAAGAACATGGGAGATCCTTCCATTTTCTGGTATCATTTTCAATTTCTTTCTTCAAAGCCTTAAAGTTCTTGTCAAATAGATCTTTCACTTCCTTGGTTAGTGTTACCCCAGGATACTTTATACTATTTGTGACTATTGTGAAAGGTAATGTTTCTGATTTTCCTCTATGCTTCTTTATTTTTTGTTTATCAGAGGGCTACTGATTTTTTTTTGAGTTGATCTTGTATCCTGCCACATTACTGAAGGTGTTTATCAGCTGTAGGAGTTCTTTGGTAGAATTTTGGGGGTCACTTATGTACTCTGTCATATCATCTGCAAATAGCGAAAGTTTGACTTCTCCCTTTCCAATTCAAATCCCCTTGATCTCATTATGTTGTCTTATTGCTATTGCTAGAACTTCAAGCACTATATTGAAGAGGTATGGGGAGAGTGGACAGCCTTGTCGTGTTCCTGGTTTTAGTGGGATGGCTTTGAGTTTCTCTCCATTTCATTTAATGTTAGCTGTTGGCTTGCTGTGTATTGATTTTATTATATTTGGGAATGAACCTTATATCCCTAATCTCTCCAAGACCTTTATCATAAAAGGGTGTTGAATTTTGACAAATGCTTTTTCAGCATCTAATGAAATGATCATACGGCTTTTTCCTTTCACTTTATTTATATGATGGATTACATTGATAGATTTGCGTATGTTGAATCAGCCCTGCATCTCTAGGATGAAGCCTGCTTGATCATAATGGATAATTTTTCTAATGTGTTCTTGGATTCGGTTTGCCAGTATTTTATTGAGAATTTTTTCGTTGATGTTCATGGGTGAGATTCGTCTGTAATTCTCTTTCTTGGTTGAATCTGTGTGTGGTTTTGGTATCAGGTTTTATGTAGCTTCATAAACAGAGTTTGGCAATGAGTCTTCTGTTTCTATTATGTGAAACACATTAAGAAGTAAAGGTATTATTAGCTCTTTTTGGAAGTTCAGTTTTCAAGTCTTGAACTGTATCCATTTCCTGTTTCATTGCTTTTTCTTTGTTTTCTTGGGTATCTTTGAGAGATTTATTCATTTATTCTAATTTTTGTTTGTCTTCTCATCCATTTCTTTAAGGGAGTTTTTCACATCCTGTTTAAGGGCCTCTATTCTTTCCATAATGTTACATTTAAAGTCAATTTCTTCTACTTCTTCTGGAATAGGGTGTTCAAGTCTTCTTGTTGCGTGATCACTGGACTCTGGTGTTGTCATGTTTCTTTTCAGGTTTTTGGATGAATTCTTGCATTGTTGCCTGCCCATCTCTTCCTTCAAATGCTGCCAGGAGAATCTTGACGTCTTGGTCCAATCTTTGCTTGGTCCAATCTGTGACTGACTGTGGACTTGGGGATTTTTCTTGGTCTGCCCTCTCTTAGGATCCCTCGTCACTGGAACTGGCTGTGGTTGTGGTGGCTCTAAGGACCCCGCAGATGGAAAGGAGTGCCTTCTGGATTGATCTCCTTAGTGCAGGAGCAGGAACTCTTCCTGGGCCAAGTACCTCGCAGACATTAGGGCAGGCTTGGGGGAGGCAGGGTCATGTGGAACAAAAGAAAAAAAAACCTGCAGCAGGAGCTGGAGGGGCCCTGTACTCTGTCCCTGGACAGTCCACCGGGCGGGCACACACTTACCCCTCTGGATGGATCCCCTCGGTACAGGAGCAAGAACTCTTCCTGGGCCCTCGCAGACAATTGGATAGGCTTGGGGAAGGTAGGGTTGTATGGAACAAAGAAGCCCCTGCAGTAGGAGCTGAAGGGACCCTGTACTCTGTTCCTGGATTGTCAGGCCAGGCAGGCACACACTTACCCCTCTGGATGGATCTCTTCAATGCAGGAGCAGGAACTCTTCCTCGGCCAAGGACCTTGCAGAAAATAGGGCAGGCTTGGGGGAGGCAGGGTTCTGTGGAACAAGGAAGCCCCTGCAGCAGGAGCTGTAGGGGCCCTGTACTCCGTTCGGGACCGGCCAGCTGGGCAGGCACACACTTACCCCTCTGGATGGATCTCCACGCTTACCCCTCTGGATGGATCTCCTCAGTACAGGAGCGGGGACTCTTGGTGGGCCAAGGACCTCGCAGACAAAAGGGTGGACTTCTGCGGTTGGCTTCTTTCCCATGGATGATTACTTCCCAGTTCTCTTGTATTTATCTATTTTTCACATGAAATTTATTATTTCCCATGTTCTCATGGATAATTCCTCTGACTCTCCAGTGTATGTTTTGCCTCTAATTTATTATCTTCAGTGCTGCATTAGTGAAATCAATTGTGCTAATTCCAGACTATCTTGAAATACACTTATGTCTACACCAATTTTAAGAGAGTATTTTTCTAGTTGCAACAATCTTGTTGATGGTGATTTTTTTTCTAAGCTAAGGGTTGTTCCACATTCTGCTGGATTTGAGATCATTGTTTAGACACCTGGTTTTATCCTGTTGCTTGGATTTTTTTCATGTGGTTTGACATGTCTAACAGCTTTCAGTATTAATTTTTGTTCTTTCTTTTTGACCCCTCAATGTGAAAGTCTAGCAAGCTGTCTATTCATCGCTTCTGAAAGAGAAACTCGAAGAAGAGAAGCAGTAAGAAATGACTGATTCTTCAGTTAATCTGTCCCAGGTCAGTGGTTGTGTCCTCTCTTTTTCTACAAATAAAAAGAAAAGTTTGAGATAATGCACATCCTAATTTTCTGATAATTTTTTTAACTTTGATATAAAAAGTGTTGCAAGCAAGCAAACAACAAAAGTCACTTGCTATATCTGACCAGACCCAAAGACTATACAACTCAATATACTGTTTTGCAGTTAGAGTAGTCATTGGGAGCAGAAGCTCTGCAACCTCACATGGGAATTTTTTCACTCTCGTATATATTTTTATGAACTTATCCAACAGACACAAAATAGATTAAAAAAAAAAACAGTGACAGAATTAGAACTAGAAATGTAATTACATTTATATCCTTTTTCATAACTGGTGTTCCTTACCTACATTCAGTCCTACCTCAACCCCTAATATGTAACCTTTCTTACTGTCTCTTTTCCTATTCTACTTTGCCCACATGTACATGGTTTCCATAAATATCTGTTATTGGCTAGGTTCTGCATATGAGGGAAAACGTGACTTCTTCCTTTATGGCACTCTATGACTTCACTATTACACTTTCTAAGTTCAACCATTTTCCTGCATATTTTCATTCCATTTTTTCTCTTTGCCTGAATAGTATTCCATTTTATATGTATACCACTTTCATTATCCATTCATCTATTGATAGACAATTAGAATAATTCCAGTACTTTCCTAAGGTGAATAAAGCAGCAGCAAACATGGGGTGTAAATAGATTTTTAGTGAGGTGTGGACTTCTGGGTATATGCCAAGAACTGAAATGGCTGAGCTATACATTAATTCCATCTCTAATTTTTTAAATACTCTCCAAACTGATTTCCACAATGACTGTATTAATGTGTATCACAACCCTCACACACATCCACACACCAACAGTCAATGAAGCTTCCTTTCTCTCCATATCCTCTCTAACGTTTATTGTCAGATTGGTTTATGACAGCTATCCTGCCTCACTTAAGGCAGTATTTCAATGTAGTTTTAGTTTGCATTTCCATAATGACATTTTAGTAGTTTCACACATTTTTTTTGTAATATTTATTGGCCAATTGTCCAGTCTTTGAAAAGTTTCCACTCAGTTAATTTTCCCATTTGTAGATTGGTATTTCTACTTCCTTGGATTTCTGTAATTCTTAGTAAATTCTAGGTATGAGCTACTATGCCAAGTGCCACTGATACAGATTTTTCCCCCTTTCTGTGGGGTGTCTGTGTGCTCTGCTGACTGTTTTCATACAGAAACTCCTTATATTCATGTAGCCCATCTGTTAATACTTGGGTCAGTTCCTGTGCTAATGATGTTCTTTCTAAGCAGTAAGTCCTTGCCCATCCCAGTATCTTCATGAGTATTCCCTGTTCCTATGTTTCTATTTTTCTGCTTTAATTAAGGTTTTTGATTCATTTTGAGTGGATTTTTATACATGATGAAAGATAAGAATCTAATTTCATTCTCCTATTGGATCCAGTTTTGCCAGCCCCATTTGTTATAAAGGCCACATTTTTATAATCTCTTTTTGCTTCCTTTATTAAATATTAAGTAATAATGGCTTTCTGGGACCTCTATCTTATTCTGTTATTCTTCTCTTTTTATGACCATGCTAGGCCATCTTTATGATTGGAGCTATACAATACAATTCCATAATTCTACATATGTTCTACCACTTTTTGTAATTCTACCCTACAACCATTTTTTTTTTGAGGGAAAAATTTTCCACATTGACTTATGACCTGTAACTTTGAAAATATTTCCACTGTGACACATGGACTAAAAATACATGTTGGTGCCCCATTGCTATAATGAATATACTGTGTAGGAGGAGGCCTAGCTAAGCAGGGAAAACTAAACTGAAGGCTGAGAGAAAAAAGGGCAGAGTAAAGGAGAAGCCATGTAGCCCTGCTGGAGACAAACACTGGAACTTTAGCCAGTAAGCCACAGCCATGTGGCGATACACAAATTACTAGAAATGGGTTAAATTAAGGTGTAAGTGTTAGCCAGTAAGAAGCTAGAGCTAATGGACCAAGCATTGACTTAAATAATATGGGTTCTGTGTGATTATTTCAGGACTGAGCAGCTGGAAACTAACAAGCGGCTCTTCCTAACAACAATACTGTATTCGCATATATTATTCTGTGATGGCTTATGTGCCATGTAGGCTCTGTTCCATTTCCTTGAATCATGGTTATAAAAATGCATATTGAAACATGGACTAGTTTCCACAACATCTTAAAATGATGGAATTAAAGAGATCTATATCTTGATTCTTTTTTGTATTTTCGAAACAGGGTTTCTCTATAGCTTTGGATACTGTCCTGGAACTAGCTCTTGTAGACCTGGCTTGCCTCGGACTTACAGACATCTGCCTGTCTCTGCCTCCCAAGTGCTGTGATTAAAGGCTTGCACCACCACTGCCCAGTTCATATCTTGATTCTTAATACAAAATAATGCTTTGTTCCTAATACTAATGATTTAAGTACACTAGGGAGTGCAGAACATGGCAGCAACATGTGGTTTGAGTTTGTCATGAAATTGATGTTCTTGAATGTAAACTTAGATTGATTATAGTCTACTTGTGTTTCACTTTGGTATTTAATATCACAACAGTGATGATGTCCATGTGTTTGTTGAAACCTGCAATCTGTTTTTCCAGGACATTGGCTGCTCATATCACTGACTTGGTTAGGATGTTCAAGGGTCTTTTTTATTTCTCTTTTTCTTTTTGCACTAAACAGGATTCCACTGTGCAGTCATTTTTCCTTGGGACTCATTATATAACACCATGTGGAATACATCAGTAAAGGTGTCTTGGAGTATTGACTAATTGGTGTGTATAAGGCATCACATTTGTTGCAGAAAGAACATTCCTCATGATTGCTTTGTTCTAGTCAGTTCCTGCGAGAATCATGGCTCTACTTCCCTAGCCTGAAGTTGCAGTGTTTTAAAGTGGAGATTGGGGAAATGGGCTCTGACCCTCGGGTTTGCATTGCTATCCTGACTCGTGGCTCAGACAGAATATGTCACTAGTTTCCTTTTCCAGAAAAATAAAGGAGAAATCATGAACGCTACTAACCTAAAATCTGTTAGACAATGTAGCCTAAATACTAACAAGAACATATTGAGGATTACAAAATTCAGATACAATAGCTGAGATTTTCTCCTGAGACATTTTTTGTGCTCTATTATATTTGCAAAGCACAGAAAATGAGTATAATTCTCACATAATTTAATATATTCATTTATTCACTAGAAATCTGTGTCATTCCTGAATACATTCAAGTTACTTCATTTATGTGTACTTGCTTAGGTGTAACTTAAATTTATTATTTAATGTGCTTTTGGACTTCCCTCAATTTTTATAGCTCTTCGGTGGTAAAATTTTCTTCTAAACCTCTGAAAGTGTTATTTGTCAAAGTTTCCTTATGCATACTGTTGGGACAATTTTAGATTATGTCAGACATGGCTGATACTGATTTTAAATCTGCTTGGTAGTGGGTTAAATATTCTTATAAATTAGTTCATAAATTACATGATTTTATTTGTTAATATAATAGCAAGTATGCAGGGTTGTTACACTCCTTACTGTGGAAAAAACAAAAACAAAGCTCTTTGACTCTAAAGTCAGTCATGAATTCTGCCTTCTATATCTACCCTTTCTCTCTGTAATGGTGTGGCGCTAAAACTAGACTTTAGACATCCCAGCTGCGTCTTTTAGAATAGCGTTGTGTAAGGCCCACGTACAGACAGGATTGATTCAGAGTCAGAATTTACCATCATCTACAGACACAGCATTTAAAATCACATTTCTTCATCATGAATTTTCCTTCTGAGTTATATGTACACTGTTATCCTGTAGGATATAAACATAGCATCCATAACAGATTGAAAACCTTGTCCAGACTTTAAATGGGTATTGTTTCATGTATATTGGTTGTGAGAATGTTGTGGCATTTCGTTTTCAGTTAGAAAGCCCATGTAGAATATGACTATATTAGAAATTAACTTATTGAGGAGTTGTCTTTGCTCATCTACATTCCTGATTTGCATAAGTCTCCTTATATCTACGAAAGTGCTCTACCTGGTATCGCCTGATCACACTGTAAGTTTTTATTTCAGGGTCTGTTGACATTCCAGGATGTGACTGTGGACTTCTCCCAGGAGGAGTGGGAATGCCTAGACTCTGCTCAGAGGACTTTGTACATTGATGTGATGTTGGAAAATTACAACAACCTGGTCTCTGTGGGTGAGAACATTTTGCTGTAGAATTCCTAACTCAGGCTTTGTATGTACTGACTTTCTAGGTTGTAAACTCTCTGTTAGGCTGTCTTGGAAACAAAAGGAAATTAGGAAAAGTTTGGTAGTAGAAAAGAACTTTTTCCTTTTTCTTGGTATTTTGCTGCTTTCTTTCCATTTTCCATGTTAGAGGTGTCCAGCACCTTTCACTTTGGTTCCAAGATGCATTCAGAAACTCTGCAGCATATAATATTTCCAGCCACACATTCCTTTTCATTTTTTTCACTTTCATTGGAATAGATTTATTTTTTCTCATACAATATATCCTGGTTATATTTTTCCCTTCCTGTATTCCTCCAAGTTCCTCCCCATTTAGCCTTCCCTCAATATCTACTCCCTTTCTATCTCTCTCTCATTACAAAGATCAGGCTTGAAGCCAGACATAATGAGGCACACCTTTAATCTCAGCTCTCTAGTGAATTTCTATGAGTTTCAGGCCAGCCTGATCTACAAAGCTCGTTCTGGGTGATCCAGATCTATTACTCAGAGAAACCCTGTCTCAAAACCTGCCTCCCACCTCCCCCAAAAAAGAGCAGGCTTCTAAGAAATAACAACCAAGCATCACAAAATAAAATAAAGCAAAAACCATCATATTGAAGTTGGACAAGAAGAAAAAGAATCCTAAGAACAGGTACAAGTATCAGAGAAACATTTATTCTCACATTCAGAAGTCCTATGATAACACTAAGCTTAAAGCTATAATTCATATGCAGAAAGCCTGGTGCAGATCTGTGTAGGCCCTGTGCTTGCTGCTTCTGTCTTTGTGAAGATCACTTGCACTTGGCTAGTTGGTTCAAAGGGCCTTGTTCTTTTGTTGTCCTCCATCCCCTTTGCTTCTTAGACTCATTTCACCTCCTCTTCTGCATGGATCCCTGAGCTCTCGGGAAGGATTTGATGGAGACATCTCATGTAGACTTTCTCTATATGTACTGTCTGGTTGTGGTTCTCTATATCTGTTCTATCTGCTGCCAGGGGAAGCTTCTCTGTTGATGACTGAATAAGGCACTGATCTATGAGTATAGAAGAATATCATCAGGAGGCAATTTGTTGATACTATTTTTTTTTCTTTTCACATCAGTAGTTTTTGATTTATACTAGGTCTCAGGATTATCTATTCTCTGGTTCTTGGTTACCCAAGCAGTATTGGTTATGGGTTCCATCCTGTGGGTTGAACCTTAAGTAAAAGCAGACATTTGTTTGTTATTCCCACAGTTTCTGTTCCAACATTACCCTAGCATATCGTGCAGGCAGGACAGACTCTAGGTCACAGGTTTTATGGCTGGTCCCACCTATTATGTTAAAGCTCTGTGTCCATCATTGCATTTTACATTGTTTTACCTGTGAGAACTCAAGATATCCAAACCTAAAATTCTCCCTAACTATGTTGAAGATCTGACAGGAAATAGCAATTTGGGAAATCATTCCTAGATTCCTCTATTTTGTGGTCTCTTCATGTACTGAGCCCAATACTGTGTTCAATGTCGGTATTGTTTCTAAAACCTCTGCCATAATTCATAGGATACCTCACAAAACGCATAGATTATTATATGCAAGGTAAGCCTGGTTACCTGTATGAAGCAAATGAGATTGCCCTGGAATGTGGGGAGGAGAGAGTAGCCACAACCAGGGTGGGCTAGTGAATGAACAGAACACAGTAATGGCTTTCAGTGAAAGAGAAAGAGCTGAGAATGTTTTTGCTATATTCCCACTTGAAAGGATTCCTGATCATTTACCTTAGTATCGTGTCCCGGCCCCTTGATGCATCCTGCCTGTTGTAGCTGTTAGAAGACAAGTGCCCATTGCACCTGAATTATGGTGACTCAATACTGGTACAAAATGTAATTTTATTTCATTGTGCTGATATCAGATTAGAATAATCTTACAAATTCTAACATGAGTCCAAGAAGTAGGATTATTCTGTAATTGCTTTCCTTGCTGTGTGTCTTTATATTATATCATTTTCTTCCCAGTGGAGAATACACTGATATATTTCTGGGAAATAATTTCAGGAGTCAGTGTACAGAAGAGACTTGTAAATGACCGTATGATGAAAGTTAAGAAACACAGCAGTGTGTGGCGCTCAGACAGTGGAGGATAGAAATAAGCAATAGCTGCCCATAACTGCCCTGCCTCAAATAATACAGATTCGAGACTCTGTAATCTAGAGCCTTTGATATCTGACAAAATACTTGCTTTACTTCCCTTACTTTTGAAGAGCCTAATGTGTTTTTTTTTTTAAGAAAAAAAAATAACCCTTTGATGCTTTTTAAATTTGTTTTGTTTTGATTTGATTTGATTTGTTTCTTTAAGACAAGGTTTTACTCTGTCGCCTTGACTCTCCCGGAACTTCCTCTATAATCCAAACTTTTCAAACTCACAGAGATCCACTTGTCCAAATGGTGGGACTAAATGCATGTGCTACCACTGCTTAGTTTTCCTTTGATTCTTTTAAGTAAGCCTTTAGTTTTCAAAGGAGTTGGTCTTCTGAACAGTACTTTTCATTGCTTTGCATTAGTAAGTACAAACACTGAACCTAGAATTGTAGTAAACTTTTCTTTAACAATTTCATAGAAAAAAAATATTTTAAAATAGACACGTGTATTCTGAATATAATCAATCAGTAAGCTCCATCCTAAAGCTAATTGCTGATTCCTCAGTTATTTGTTTCTTCTTCTTGAAGGCTGTCACTCTGGGGGATAATTCTTATAATTATAGTGAAAGGAAAAAATGTTGAGTACCAGAAACTCTGTGCAAAATAGTTGCTGGTTGACATATCGTAATAGAGAACATAGTGAGTCACAGTCACTTATCAGATGTTTATTATTGGAACAAGCCCTATTAATCTGACTGTACTCATTTTCCAGAGAACGATTACATATGTGATCCTGTCCATCAGCATGTGAATAATGAAAAGGAGTCTTCTCCGTGTAATGAGCTTGACAAAATGCCTCATGACCCCTCCACATGTGCGCCTTACAGAACAAGTGAAACTACAGAAAACTCCAATGACTACAGATGCAATAATCACAGGGAGGACTCAGTTGACTCTTCAAACCCAGCTAGACATGAAAGTGTGCACACTGGAGAAAACCCTTGCAAATCTAAAGACTGCGAGAAATCCAACATTACTCAAGATCAGAGAGTCTGCACAGCAAAGAAAGAGCACAGGCTGGGAGAATATGCTGACTCTTTGCTTAATGCATTCAGTGTTATGCAGCAAACAATCTGTAATAGAGAGAAAACATACCATTGTGAGGAATGTGGGAAATACTTCAGTAATTCCACAAGCCTCTCTGTGCACCAGAGAATACATACGGGAAAGAAACCCTACAAGTGCAACGTTTGTGACAAATCTTTCACCCAGTGTACAAATCTTAAAACACATCAAAGAACTCATACTGGAGAGAGACCTTATGTATGCAGAGAATGTGGAAAGTCATTTCGTCACTTGTCAGCACTTAAAAGCCATCAGAAAATGCATACAGGAGAGAAGCCTTACAAATGTGAGGAATGTGATAAATCCTTTACCCAGTGCTCAAGTCTGAAAACGCACCAAAGACTTCATACTGGGGAGAAACCATACAAATGCAGAGAATGTGAAAAGTCTTTTCCTCAGTCCTCAGCACTCAAAAGCCATCAGAAATTGCATACAGGAGAGAAGCCTTACAAATGTGAGAAATGTAACAGATCCTTTGCCCACTATTCTAGTTTCAGGAGACATCAGAAAATCCATACTGCTGAGGAACATTCTGATTATGAAGTATGTGACAAGGTCTTTCGTCAGCTTTCACACTGTAGAAGCCAATACAGACTGTATACTGGAGAGGATCCTTATAAATGCAATGACCATGACACAGATTCTTTGCCCACTATTAATCATTTAGAAGGCATCATAAAAGTTATTCTCTAGAGATATTGTATGAATGCAAAGATTGTGTTAAGTCAATTCTTGAAATATGACATCGTAAAAGGCATTACAGAATCCGTACTATAGAGAAACATTAGAAATGTGAAGTATTGTGTCAAATCTTTTACCTAGGACTCACGTCTTAGAACATATCAGAGAATCGTACTGGAGAGAGATCTTACAGATGTAAGGAATGTGACAAGTCTTTTTTTAGGTGTGTATATCTTAGAGCAGATCAGAAAATTAGTATTGGAGAGAATCCTTATAAATGCAAAGACTGAGCCGGGTGGTGGTGGCACACACCTTTAAAACCAGCATTCAGAAGGCAGAGGCAAATGGGATCATGGTGAGTGCAAGGCCAGCCTGGTCTTCAGAGCGAGTTCCAGGAAAGGCTCCAAAGCTACACAGAAAACCATGTCTCCAAAAACAAAACAACGAAACACTAAACAAACAAAAAGACATCAGAAAATTCATACTGTAAGAGAAAAATACCATTGTAAATAATGGGACATAGTAGTTATCTGCTATTCTCTGCTTATAAATCCCGATAGTATATAATAAAAACATAAACTTGTGAATACCTTGAATGGAGGTCTAAATCTTAGAAAAATATTATAGGTTTATATTAAAATAAATTCTATAAAAGTAATAGAAAGTTTTTTTCTTTTTTATTATATTTTATTTTCTTTTAAAAAGCTTTTTCTTAATGTTTATGATTGCTTTGTCTGCAAGTATTTCTGTATTCTCCATGTTTGCCTGGTGCTTGGTGAGACCATAAGAGGTCATTATATCCACTGAAGCTGAGATAACAGAAAATCGTGAGCCCTGTGTGTATTGGGAATTGAACCCTGGTTCTCTAGAATAGCATCCAATACTTTCAACCACTAAGCCATATATACAACCCCTAGAAAATGCTGTAATAAGAGCATTTATCTTGTTCAGTATGCAAAAATTCACGCCTTTAATTCCAGCACTCAGGAAACAGACACGAAGATCTGTGTGTCAGAGGCCATCATTGTCTACATAGTTTCTGGACAGGCAGAACTACATAAACTGTCAACAACAACAAAGAATCATAATGAAATGATTCAAATTTAGTAAATGAAAAAAATGTGACAGAGACCTCTAATTTTGCTGTTCATCACAAAATTCATAGTTTTGAAAAACCATCTGCCGGTGTACCATATATAATCCCCATGTGTTGTTCTTTATAAATTCCACCCTTGAAATGCTTTCAATTCGACAAATCCTTTACCTAGTTCTGAAATTGTAGACATAAGAATTCATTATGAAAGAAAAAAAATGCTTTAATAATGTCTTATATTTTTTTTTTGCTCACCTTTCAAGTTTTCATAGGAGTCAAACCTTAAAAAGAGTAAGAAGGTGAGAAATTATAAAGGGATAGCAAGTGACTGAAAACATGAGCATGCTCACATACAGCTTACAAATCTTCAAAGACTAAGGGTATGGTCCTCCATGTCTTCAATACCAGCTCTCTGGAGGCAAAGGTAGGCTGAACTCTATTGAGTTCAAGTCCAGCCTTGAGAAACCCTGCCTCAAGCAAAACAACAACAAAGAAATCCCCAAGAGCATACACTAATTTTGAAGTCTTGAGGACAAATGGGGTAGTATTTACTCAATATTCTAAAATAATATAGCTGCTATTAACGGCCAGTAGAGCTTCATGGAGTGAAAGGAGTCTCGTTGGACTCTCCCTCAGCAATGAGGGAGATGGTATTTATCCGAGACTTCTACAAACTGCAGCAGGCTTCTTTCACTAAGGTTAAGAGTACTGCAAATTGATAATTATAAACCTGGATATTTTGATGGAAATTAATATGATCATTAATTCAATACCAGTAGGTCCGCCCTTGGCCTATACTCCCCAAGTCATGGTATTTGATCATGTTTATAGTAGAAGGTGCGAATTCCCCTCAGTGGAGCAAGCCATAGATCCAATTGACAGGTGATTATGCCCATAAGCAGTTGGGCCGGTTTTGTGCTGTGCACACATCCTGGTTTGTAGATTGGTATTGTAGGATGCAGGGACCATTGACTTCAGTCATGTGAAAGCTAGCCAGTAGGGAGAATTTTCTGGTAGGTTCAAGATTGCATCCTTTCTCTCTTTGGTATCTTCAATAAATAACATCATGTATTTATGGTGGCCAAGTAACCTATTTTATTTGGGATGCCTCTGGGACCTCCCTGACCAGTAAGTCCTAGGCAGATAACCAGTACCTGGTAGAGAGAATTGGATTTAATAGCCCTTTGAATGGAAGCAGCATTATTTACCCAGGTGGGACATCTCTGTTCAAAGTTTTGAAAATTATATTTTCTATTAACTTATAAGACAGTGGGATTTCATAAGGCTTTATTCTTTTGGTTAATCTACCCACTTATCCTCCTTCCTGCCTCATCTAAGTTAAACATCTAGTTCATATTATCCAGCACCTTTACTGTACATTATAACACATATAGAGTACATTATAGCACATGTGTTCTACTATCCCTCTTTTTGTATTTTTTACTTGGGTTGTAAAATGATAGGTTCCCATGTAGCTTTTTCATTGGTGTGTCATTTGACCTTCCAGCAGCCTCCTCTTCTCAACCAGCAGAGTACATATTTGAACCATTCTGCCCTCGGTATCCTGCCTTCCTATTTCATGGAACCTATATTCTACTATCCACCCTCTTTTCCTCCATCTCCCTCTTATTGTCTGTCTCTAGCTTCCTGACTTGTATACTCTAACTGAGCACAAGCGAAGACTGACATGGGAGAAAATGTGATGTTTAACATTTGAGGCCTAGTTGGCATCACTTACCATATTTTCCATTGCCTACATTTACATCCAAATTTCACACTTTCATTTTTATTTGCAACTAACATATATACCTTTGTAGCTATATATTACATTTCAGTTACCCATGTGTCAGTTGGTGGATAGCCGAGCTGATTCCACTAGTGTGAAAAGAAGCAGCAATGAGCAAGTGCTCGGTGATAATATGCCAAGATCTGAGTTCATATCTGGAGTTCATAGCCAGGAGTGTTTACTGTGTATCAGTCTCTGAGGTGAAACCCGTCTGTCTTGGAGAAAGCTCTTTAAAACGCCGGAGTTAAAAGATAAACTAATGGGATGCTATAATGGGAGGTAATATATTCTGTCCTACAGAGAAGCTCCTGAAGTACAGAAATAAAGGACACTGACACTTCAGACAAGCTGAGCCACATAGAAAATACTGAGACAAACCATGAAGCAGACACCAGTCAAGCTGCCTGAACTGCAAGACAAGCTGCATGAAGGAAATAGTGAGTGTCTCAAAAGGCACTTCAACCTCCCTTAAGCTGTTTTCAAGCTGTGCAGTGATCCCCAGGTTTCCAACTTCCTTAGCTATTACCCCCCCACACAGCTATCGTTGAGTCCTTTGTGCTTCTATCTGTAACCCCTTACCCCCACTCTTGTAAGTCACTTAGTAAAACTCAGTGGTCTCCTGGGTTTAGGGATGACTCAATGGTTAGGAGCACTGTGTGCTCTTTCAGAAGACTCACTTTGAATTTCCTGCACCCTCACCTAGGTACTCAATCTTTAATGTCACTCTAGGGTATCCAATGCCTTCTGGGTCTGTTAGCACTAGGAACACACATGGTGCATAGACATACATGCAGATAAAACACCCCTGAAAAAGAAAAACAATCCTCATTGTTTCACTCAGATATATTTTGTTGTTTTCCTACTTTGGTTTGTCATTGGCTCCTTAGCTGTTATTATTTTATTTTTGATTTTCTTTTTTTCTTTTTATATTTGGGGATTATAATATTAATACAAGATTTCTCCTCTCCCATTTCTTTCACCAAATTTTCCATAAAATCTCCTCCATCTCTTTTAAATTCATGGCCTCTTTTTTTAAATTAATTGTTACTGTGCACACGCACGTGTGTGTGTGTGAGAGAGAGAGAGAAGAGAGAAGAGATTGTAATGTCTGTGTATATACATACATATTGCTAAATATAACTTACTCGCTATGTTCTATGTTACTTAGACATATTTTTCAAGGCTGACCCTTTGGTAGTGGGTAAACAATCCTCCCTAGGGAAGATTAATTCTCCACTTTACATTATTGTTCAGTTGCCTGTGTGTAGGTTTGCGGGCTTTTCCCCATTGAATTAGGCATGCCCATTGTTTGTGTCCATGCTCAGCTTCCTTTTAGGTGGTCACAGAGTTGAGACTATGGATTTAACTTCTTTCATTATTAGGAGACACAGTCTCACAAAAATTTTCCTGTTCTTCTGGCTGCTACAATATTTCTATCTCATCTTCAAAAATGTTCCTTGATTCTTAGGTATAGGAATCTTTTGTAGATGTATCCCTTGGGGCTGGCCTCCACAACTCTGCAATTTGGTTCATTGTGGGGATTTTGTAGTTATATCTGTCTGTTGCTAAGAGAATTTTCTTTGAGGGGGAGTGGAAATTCAGAGAATCATTAAGTCTTACTACAAAAACCTGTATTCCACAAAATTGGAAAATGTAAAAGAAATGGACAATTTTTTTAGGTAGATACCATATACCAAAATTAAATCGAGACCAGGTGAGCAATTTAAATAGACCTATAAGCCTCAGGGAAATAGAAGCTGTCATTAAAAACTTCCTTACCAATAAAAGTCCAGGGTTGGATGTCAACGTCTAGTGCGTCGGGGGTCCCTGGGTAAAGGGGTCGAATAAACCAGGACACGGGATGCAGAGCGGAAACAGCATTTGCAACTGCATGCTGGACATTTATTAAGCCATCCTTTTAAACACTTTGGAAATAATTGCTTCAGTCAACAGTTTTGTCAAAAAGAGGAACTATAGATCATGAGTTAACCAAGGACTTATTTAGATTATGCACAAAAAGAATACGAAAATCAATCAATATAATCCATCATATAAATAAACTGAAAGAAAAAACCATATGATCATTTCATTAGATGCTGAAAAAGCATTTGACAAAATTCAACACCCATTTATGATAAAGGTGTTGGAGAGATTGGAGATACAAGGATCATACCTAAATATAATAAAAGCAATATACAGCAAGCAGACAGCTAACATCAAATTGAATGGAGAGAAGCTCAAAGCTATTCCACTAAAATCAGGAACACGACAAGGCTGTCCACTCTCCCATACCTCTTCAATAGAGTGCTTAAAGTTCTAGCAATAGCAATAAGACAAAATAAGGGGACCAAGGGGATTCAAATTGGAAAGGGTGAAGTAAAACTTTTGTTATTTGCAGACAATATGATAGTGTACATAAGCGACCC